CTAATAAAGATTTGGATGAGATTTCAGGTGACAGTGCATCCAGACTGACTGAAAAATGTCTTGCAATGTGGTTGAAGAACAATCCAGGGCGTAAATGGAAAACCCTGAAAGAGGCTGTCCAAAATGTACTACTAACAAAATGAATATTATGAATTGTTCATTGAGCATTACATGTACAAATTTATGTATACCTTTCTTTCATTTTAAAAGTAAATATGAATTACATTACATGCAATTTAAAAATTAGTAAATGTTAACTTTCAACTTTTTGTCCATGTGCCGTCTTGTGTTGCCATTCAAAAATAGGAGTCTAATGTCATGAGTTATTTTATGTCACATTCTAGATCTAGTGTGTTTTGATTTTTCATATGTAATTCATAGAAATGTTTAGTAAGCTATTTGTAACAGGTACTTTCAATATTATTATAGGCATCATAAATACTTGTATATCAATAGCTCTGTAATTAAATGTACCTTGGAACCAAATACACTCTTCAAGAAATTTAATGAGTAGCTGGGGGTGCATATTAGTCAGGCCACTAAGTGCATAATATTTTAGTTATGACAAAAATCATGTACTTAATTAGTTGAAATTCAAAAGCTGTATTTAATTATTTAAAACTTAATGAGCCTTGAATATAAAAGACAAAAAGTATATGTACTACATGGACTTGGCTCACACCTGTGCAGTGTGCATAGATACACCTACATCATTATTTGATTGCTTCTTACAATATGACAACAACTTTACTCCTTGGTCTGTTTTTATCACTTCTCCTGTGGCATCCTACAATTGGAGACTTAGATGGCAGTGGAAATGTGTTTGAATATGAGCAACTGATGGACAATACATCAAGCAAAAGTCAGTGACAAAGTTTTCAGAATGTTTTAAGATAACTATGGTAGATTCAATGATAGTGCAAGATCTAGAGGTTGTACAAGATCCATTTCTCTATTATTTGGACTACAAGACAGTGTATGTGAACTGTTCTGTTTATGGAGAGTCTCCATTTGAAGTCTCATGGTTGTATAGTACTGATGAGATATCTAATAGATCCAGTGACTACACTATCATCAGTGGTAGTAAAGTGTCTAATATTGTGTACAATCCTAACTCTGATGATGAAGAATATGTGTGGTGGAACAGTTCTCTTCTTTTAAATCCTATTGATAACTCAACAGTTGGATATTACTACTGTAGAGTCAACACCTCATTTGGTCTAATGTATTCAAAACCAGTTTATGTCAGAAGCACTTGTAAGCCTTTGAAACTATAACATTCTACATAACTATTTGTAATGAAATTTATCTTAATTTTTTAAATGCAGATTCTCCAAGGTTAAATTCCACTTCCACAAAGTTCATTAAAAGTGGTGACAGAGTGTTTGGTACATGGAGTGTATTAAGCTTTCCTTTGCCAAATATTCTGCTGTCCCTTCAATACTTCAATTTTGCACCACTCTATGCAAGAGCAGTATACAATGACTACATGACTGTCAACATGTCCCTCAATTCTTACGTTTCAAATTATCCTTACTTTATATACATTAATGAGATAAGTAAGGATAGACTGACTGTACACTGGTCGTATAGTTTTGAGCGAGTCTTCTCCATGAGATTAATAGCAATAAGTTATGACCACTTATCTCAAAATCCACAGCATCATGAGCTATACAATCATTCTGGTATGTAAATTAAGACAGGATTATTTCATATCAATCAATTTTTTCTTATATTTAGGTCAAGCATATGTCAATTTTCACAATCTCTCCTTCACTGAACAAACAGTCACCTTTTCATGTCTCTGTGCAGAGTGTGATGGCATTGAATGGAGACAGGACAATGTGCCACTACCATTGAATTTGTATGGTGTGTTTAGCCTCAAGAAAAAGCTCTGGCCTAATTACACTATGAACCTCAAGCACAGCAAGCTTACAACTTCCTATTATAACAGAAGTCACTATAGTTGCAGACCTGTTTGCCTTCAGAATTCTATATTTAAAAATTCTTCTGCATACATTGATAACCCATGTAAGAAAAGATGCATACATGTATAATAAACTTTTGGTAATGATAATGTGTAAATTTACAATTTTATAGTTGCATATATCACTG